GTGAAAAAATCCTATCAAACTGATGCAAAATGTTTCACTTTTTTTATGCAAACAAGTAAAATCCATTAAAATATTTATTCAGAAGCCGAAAAAGTTTAAATTTCCGCATTTCGTTTAGTTTAGTTGAATCTAGTCATTGTTGCTCGCCTCTGGCATCTCTTGAGTTCTAAAAGAATTAGTAATGTCATGAGCTTTAACATGACAACGAGAGACACGACGTTTGAAACTTTCATGACAACATTCTAAGCAATAAACCAAAATTATTGTATAATCTCTGACTCTAGTTTAAGATGAAAAACTCACACTTTAGCCGTCATCGTCGGCGCGGTGCGGATCGATGAAAGCACAGATTGCATAAAGGCCGTCTTCTTTACGCGAGCTAAAGATAAAACATTAACAAAATCGATATTATTAGTGGCTATTTCTTCAAAAACTCTCAAATTAGTTCTAAAACTTACACCCGAGTTGTATCTGTCTATCCATAGAAAAAAAACTAAAATTTGTGGTCAAGTGTTGCCAGAGGGGGTTTGGTTGGGCGTGCCTTTTTTCGGATGCATTTTTCCGGACACAGTTCCGAGGTCAACGCCCGAGTTCTCTTCCCGAGGAAGTGAGGTAACCCTCTAGCTCCGGACCAACGTACCTTTGGGAAAGACCTTTCTTTTATTGACCCCCTCTAGTGCCCTGTGGCAAAAAGGACGCGATTGTGTCCGCGCACAGAGAACGCCTTAATTTTGGAAAGAATGTGGATCCATGTGGATCTTTTCCGTACATTCAACGCCGTAATATCAAGTATCAAAATAAAACCACGTAATTGCGGGTCTTTCCGGATTTTTCCCCCCGTAAATTAGCATTTTGATCAAATCAAATCAATTTCAAATGCAAACTAGGAAAATTTGCAAGAGTCAATAGTGTCAAGTGCACAGTGTCAAAAGAATGGAATCTCTTGAGTTCTAAGAGAAACAATAATGTTTAAAAAGGACACAACGTTTGAAACTTTAATGAAGGGTACGTTGGTCCGGAGCCAGGGGATTACCTATGAAGTTGGTTAACAGCAGTTAACAAAAACTTTGTTTCACTCCCTCTAGCAACATTTGATGAGAAATTTTTGTTTTTTTTTATGTGGATAGACAGACACAGCTCGGGTGTAAGTTTTAGAACTAATTTGAAGTGAGTTTTTGGACAAACAGTAACTAATTTTTATGGTTCCTGTTCCTGAACTGCAACCCTTTTCATTTAAAGAACTTTTGCACAACTTTAATTGAATTTATGCAACTCAGGACTTCCAATAAATCCAGAATATTATTCTTTTGTTTAAATTTTTGTTTTCAGAGCACAGAAAGAGAACATATGCCAGAGTTCGTCAAACTTCAAGCGGGGAAACAGGCAGGCGGCAGTGTAGATATGTGAGTTTTTCTTGGTTTTTGTCCATTAAAAGATCAGATTTTTAAGGCTTGAATCTATCTTTTTAGCCTCTTTTATTTGACGCTGAGGCTCGGGGTGGCCGCCATGATAAACATCGGCTATGTGATCATCGAACAAGAGATGTTTAATCTAAACGAATTTAGCTTAATCTAAAGCGAATTTAGCCAAATCTAACCTAATTTAGATAACAATTAGCGATTAAATAACAATTTCTTATCCATAAAACTTTATTACAACAAAATAATAAATAGTCAAAGAAATATGTACAGGTTTTAAAAAGAATTGCACGTGTTAAACCGTTTAAGCGTCATTCTCGATCATGATCATCTGAAAGGTTGAATCGATTGATAAGTTGTTCTCAAAAAACTTGAATACTCATTTCTCTCACATTTCTCATCGTTTCCTCCATTTGTGCCTCCATATCAGCTGTTGCTTGCGCGAATCTCTTCAACGATTCCACTAAATATTCCACTTTTACATCAACATCCGTAGCTTTCAGTGTTCCTTGCATCAAATCATCGATTTTCTTCCGGATTCTCTGAAATTCCCTTTTTTTATTAACTCAGAAACCATTTAGATATGTTTTTGCAAAGTTCAGTCTTTCTTTCTTTCTCAATTCACCTCTTCAGCCGATTCTGCACTCGTTTTCGGCACTCTTTCTCCGATTCTCTCTTTCCATTTGATCATTTCCAAGAATTGACGCATCTTTTCACATATGTAGAGTTTCTGAAAAGTTGATTAAAGCAAGAAGACGGTAAAGTAGTAGCCAGAAAAGCCAGCTAATATACGAAAAAAAGGAAGTTTCTCAAACTATCGTATCTCAATAGATACCCTACAGTACCCCAGGTAGGGTACAGTAAATTTAAAGATATATTTTTTGAGGAAGACTCTACCGTACTCCTCAAACTACAGGGTGTCCCAAAAAAAGATCCACTTTGGGCCAAATTCTAATATTTTGGGTGGCTCAAGGTGATAGGTATGGTGCCAAAATGGCCGGGACATTTTGATGTTTTCTCATGATTTTCACCATATCACGGCTCCTAATACAAGAAATTTCTAAGCCACCATGGTCACTACCATCATAATGGTCACCACCATGATGAGGCTTTTCTCATAGAATTAAAATACAGTAACAAAAGATTGGAATGCATTACCGTCACTCAAAAACCTCTACCGTACTTCCAAGACCACAGTAACCTTGAAAAAGTAACCCACACCCTACAGTAACCCTACAGGAGCCTACGTAGCCATCACCCTACACGATAAAGCAATCCTCACGCCACAGTAACCCTACAGTAACCCCAACCTTCAACTCCAGCAGATTCGTCATATCCATTTGGCATTTCCTGTGCGAGTGTTGAATGCAATCAGCGCAAATCACTTCCTGATTCACCTGAACATTGCTTTAGAACGTTTTCAAAGTTTTCTTACAATTTCCTCGATCTCATCTAATGGCACCTCGGTGATTGATTTTTTGTGTTTTGCCTGGAAAATTTGATTTAGACATTTCTCAAGTTATAAACCTCAAAATGCTCTGTGCAGATCCATAGTTTACTTAAAAGTGGTGGCTGACCGTCGGGCTCACACGATGGGCATTCCTTGCGTTGACCGGAGAGTTTTTGCTGAGAAATTTGGATCATTTTTAGATCAACTGAGGCCTTAATTACGGTAGTTTTCTGCTAAGAAGTACTGTAGCTATGGTTAGATTATGGTTGTTTAAAAAGATGCCTTTTACGAGTGGATTAGTCGAGTACTATTGATCCGTTGTAGCACCTAGAGATACAATAATCTCCGGCTATAGTTTCTCCGTATAAACCTGGGCTTTTCTCACCTTCAACAGCTCCACCAATCCCTCAAACGCCTTCTCGTTCGTTTTTCCAGCCGGCTTTTCGTATTTCTTCAACTCCTCATTGAGCCGAAAGATCTCCCGATCTTTCTCTTCTCTAAATATTACTGTACTTTCTTTAATCTTTTCCTCACACAGCCATCGTCATGAATTTCATTCCTTGCTCCATCGACGCCATTTTTTCCATTTTCTGTTTTAACTCTGCTGCTTTTTTGTCGACTTTTTCTTCCATTTCTTTCAGTTTTTTTGTAGCATTCTCATTTATTTTAATGCAATCTTTTTGCATTTCCTCGAGAACCTGAAATTGTCATCAATTACATTTCCTTCTCCATCAATGAACAAGTGAGACTACAAACGGGATATACTGTTGATTAGATCAACTACAGTAATCTTAGGTATGTATTGGTTTTCCTCACCTGTACCAATTCCTTTTCTTTGTTCTCCGCCGTTAACACTTGCAATTGCTGTCTCATCTTTGCATTTTCATCATTCACTTCTCTAATCTTTCTTTCGAGCGTTCCATTCTTTGCTTTCACATACATCAAATCAGATTCAGCTTTCAATTCATTCAACTCATTTTGCAATTGCTAGATATTTTAGTGTTATGAGCCATAGTTAATGCAAAATAGAAAACAAAATGACTGGACTGAGTCTTTGATATTGGAAGAGAAAAGGCGCTGATGTCAGGAAAAGCTCTACCGTCTTCATTTTCTATTTTGCACTACTCTATCATACCTACACGTGAATTTATTTTATTCTAGACGTTTATTTCAACTTTAAACACTTACTTCTTGAGCCATTTGTCGAATTTAACCAAAGAATTTGTCCAATTACTGAATAAAACTGAACAAATAAGTCAAAAATATTTTCGAAAATGACTTGCTTCACCTTGCTTTTCCTCTGATAAGCCAAAAAGGAAATCAATAAAATTTTTCTTGCGTAAAAGTTTTTTGAATGATAAGGAAGAGAGAAAAAGAGCAGTTGTCATGAAAAAAAATGGGAAATTGAGGATTTGCAGAAAGCAGAAAGGAAAGTGGTAGTCGAAAAAACAGAATTTCTAAATTTTAAGACAATCAAAACGTTCAGACTATCGCGCAATCGAGCACTATGTTGAGATGTGCAAGAATTGGCTGTTTTTAAATGTTAAAACAGTCAATATTTCTCCATACACATTGTTATTTTGAAATACTTTGCTCGATCTTTAGTCTTAGATTTGCAACTTTTCGACTCTCGCTACCACTTTTTCTAACTATTATGAACAACTTAGTTTTTGGCTATAAACACTCTCAGCTAATTGACAAAATCGTCGACAAGGGGTACCAGTTGATCTGTGGTGATTTCATCAGCTCGAAAATTTGAACTTTGTATGCTTCATTGAGCAGTTGACAGTTTAAAAGATTTGTGAATTCGGGAAGACGAAAAAACTCTTAAGATATGCTTGACGAAACCTCAAATTTGGGTAATTAAACAAAAAAATTAACCACTTCTGTTGTTTCTCCTGCGAAAAATGAGCAACTGTGATCAATTGACACTTCTGGAATAGAGTATTTGAAAAGGTGAGTCTTAAAGGAGAGATTTTCAACTTTAAATTTCAACTTAGTCAAAAAATCCTATCAAACTGATGCAAAAATCTTTCAATTTTTTTATGCAAACAAGTAAAATCCATTAAAATATTTATTCAGAAGCCGACAAAGTTTAAATTTCCGCATTTCGTTTACTTTGGTTGAATCTAGTCATTGTTGCTCGCCTCTGGCATCTCTTGAGTTCTAAAAGGAACAGTAATGTCATGAGCTTTAAAACTGACACGACGTTTGACACTTTCATGACAACATTCTAAGCAATATACCAAAGTTATTGTATAATCTCTGACTCTAATTTAAGATGAAAAACTCACACTTCAACCGCCATCGTCGGCGCGGTGCGGATCGTTGAAAGCACAGATTGCATAGACGCCATCTTCTTTAAGCGAGCTAAAGTTAAAATATTAACGAAATCGATGTGATTGCATGAAGCCTATTTAAATTTACAGTTAAAATTTAAACCACTCACCACTTCCTTTCGTCACCGTGCTCTTCTTCGTCAGGGTCTTGCTGCTCGATTGCGTCGACTCATCTTCTAAGGCAGATAAATGAAGTTGTTGTTTGAAGTCAATGCTTGATTTATAGCATAAGATTTACTCGATTTTGCGGCGTGCTTCTGGCTTATCTTCGTCATCTTCTCGTCTTTTGTAATTGTGTTATTCTCAGGCTCGCGTTTATCTCCCTAGAAAGCAAAGAATGAACTAAAATAACTATATAAGCAAATCCATACCAGATTGAGAGCCTTGAGGTTATGGAGGGCAAGCAATGGGTTCTTGATGGCACTGTAATAACTAAACAATAGATTCATAATCCAATCACTCACTCAAGTTGTTTGTTCTGTTTCTCGCGGAGTTTCTGTTGATTTTTGCGCGCTATCTCCTTGTAGACCTCTTCGAGATACCATTGTTGGATTTGCTAAAGAAAAAAAGACAAGTTCACAATCTCAAGCCTAGAATTAAAATAGTCGCACCTCTTCTTCACACCCCTGCTTGCGCTCCTTCTCGGCCCGATCCATCCATTCACGTCTCCGTGCTCGCCTCTGAACAAAAAAGTTTAATAACATTAAATTGCAAGAACTTTAATCACTCTAAAGACATTCCGCGATTTTAAAACTGACAATAGAAAGTCCACGTTAAGTTTTAACAGCTCAAGCAATCTTTTAAATCACAAAGCTTCACCTGTTCGATGATCACAAAGCCGATGTTTATCATGGCGGCCACGCCGAGGCTCAGCGTCAAATAGAAGAGGCTAAAAAGATAGATTTAAGCCTTTAAAATCTGATCTTTTAATGGACAAAAACCAAGAAAAACTCACATATCTACACTGCCGTCCGCCTGTTTCCCCGCTTGAAGTTTGACGAACTCTGGCATATGTTCTCTTTCACTGCTCTGAAATTAAAAAAATAAACAAAAGGATAACATTCTGAATTTTTTAGAGGCCCTGGTTACATAAATTCGACAAAAAGTTGTTTAAATGAAAAGGGTTGCAGTTCAGGAACCAAAATTATTCATCAACAAACAAGCAAACAAACAAACAAAGGTAAGCAAACCAAACAAAAATTATATTGAAAAAACTTAAAAACGTACGAATGTAGATAGAATCGAATGAAACTGCAAGAAGAAAAAGAATGAAAAGGAAGGGAAAATTCGAAAAGCTCGACGCGCCAATAAATGCAAATTGAAAAAAATTGGAAATTTTCTTGTTTCGCGTAAAGTACTCGAAATTTCAATCAAAACTTCCAATGTGGCCGTCTCTACGATACTCTTGAAGTAATTGAGGTTCATGTACAATAGAGGCCATATTTAAAGCCTTTCAACAGCTTGTTAACTGTATACATTTACAGTTCACTATACGTTATAGATTATTCCGATCTTTCATGACGGAGACTTTCTTTGACAACTTTTTCGCTACATAATTAGATCTTTGGCCATAAAAATTAGTCACTGCTTGTTCAAAAAAGATCAAATTGGTTCCAAAACTTACACCCTACTTGTATCTGTCAATCCACCTCAAAGCAAAAAAATTTGTGGTCAAGTGTTGCTAGAGGGTGTTTGAGAAGGTTGGATCCCGGGATGGAGTCGAGTTTTATATCCCTTGCCCTTCTTCCTTTTTGACCTTTTTCGGATGAGAAATTCTCCAAGGTACATCGCCCAAAGCTGTTTGTCGAAGCTTGATCACGGCGTGCAGTCAAATTGCATAGGTAACCCTCCAGCTCCGGACCAACGTTCACTACGGGAAAGACCTTTCTTTTATTGACCCCGTCTAGTGCCCTGTGCCAAAAAGAGCGCGATTGTGTAAGCGCACAGAAAACGCCGAGGAAAGAAAAAGCGGTGCATGTGGATCTTTTTGCCTTTAGCATTTTGATCAATTTCAGATGCAAATTGGAAAAATTGCATTTAAATGATTGACAAAAAGTAAGATCAAAATATGGTTGGCTTGCGTTTCATTAAAATTGTAGAAAATCTTTGTAAAAACTAGAACAGAAACACTTTTCTTGAAAATAGTTACCGTTAAGTATTTTAGCTAATTCAACCAAATGAAAACAATTTTTCAAACAAACAATTCAACCCCAACGAAACTAACATTTGAAAATGTTGGAGCCTGGCTATGGAGCAACATAAAGAAACACCGAATATTCATTTCCGTGTAGTGTATCAAGACTTTCTGAGCATTTAAACCAATATTAGGATTGTTCTTTTTGTTTTTTTAATAATTTTTGGAAATTTTTTTGAAACTGAAACCTATTAAGCAAAATGAACTGTGTGCAGCTCGGTCCACTGTTTTTGAAACTAAATGAAATGTTGCAAATCACTTACAAAATGAATCCGACTGCGATATACGTGCAAATGAGATAAATGAGATCAGTAATTGCAAACTTTGCAACACTAGTCAACAATCAGTAACAATACTTTTGAATACTTTTAAGAAATCAAGAAAAATCTGATTAGCTTTTAAGAGCTTCTTTTCAAATTTGCTAGATTTTGATGACAGTGTCGTTCATTTGCTTCGTCGACTGTGAAAATGGTTGAATTGATGTAGGGAGTGGCTGAGAATTACGTGCGCGCAGCAACTGGCATAGCTTTAAACAATGTATAATTTTTACATGTTCTTTGAAAGGAAATTAAATTATGGCGTTTTCTTTGACGCACGTAAGTTTCAGCCATACTGGATGAAATGGTACAACTTTTATTAGAAAAAGACAATGACAATGATAATGAGACGGCACAGGTAAAACTTGTTGTCATCTTGGGGGAGGTCTTATGCGCTATGTGATGTGATGTTATTGCACGGGAGGAGGAGGGCGGCATTATTTTTTCCATTTTACCTTTTTTTCTTTGACAACTTTCTCGCTACATAATTAGTATTTTTGACCATAAAAATTAGTCAATGTTTGTCCAAAAACGATCAAATTGGTTCTAAAACTTGCACCCTACCTGTATCTGTCAACTCACCTCAAGACAAAAAAAATTTGTGGTCAAGTGTTGCTAGAGGGTGTTTGTCTGACAAGGTTGGATCCCCGGATGGAGTCCAGTTTTCTCGGTAACCCTCTAGCTCCGGACCAACGTACCCTTCGGGGAAGACCTTCCTTTTATTGACCCCCGCTAGTGCCGTGTGCCAGAAAGAGCGCGATTGTGTGCGAGCACAGAAAACGTTTTAAGATCATAGTTTTAAACAATGCATAAAGCATTACTACTCATTTTTTTTGTGTTTGAATATGCTTTTTATTAATGTCCATTAATTTTCCGTTAAAAAAGTCAGTTTCTAGGTCATGTCAAAGACGTGCGCTAGTCGGGACGCAATCGCACAGCTGGCTACGAGCGGCATGAAGAACTCGTCGATCGCATCGAGGCCTGCGGTGGCTCTGTAATTATTATATTGGATGAAAAGATACAACTTTTATTAGAAAAAAGACAATGAAACCAAACAGCTATTGTCATTTAAAACAAACAGAGCCAAACAGTATTTTTCTGTTTTGAAATTCTTTTATTTGTGCTTTGTTTATCACAAAAAGACTAAAAGTACGTAAAGAGTCAATCTCGTAAACGAAAAAATGTTTTGTTATGTTATTTTCTACCTTTTATGTTAAGCTTTTGTGTTTCTTCTCACTCTAACGGGTCTCAGCCGTAGAGTTTAACGTTAATGACGTTGTTGGTAGAACCGAATTGGGTATTGTTGAAGCGATGGACAATCTGAAA